GGCGAGAGGGACGCCGCGTGCGAAGGAATATAGCAGAATGCAGCAGCAGGTAAGAAATACAGAAACAAAGGAACTAATAGTAAAATCATGACCAAAATAATGAACGCATATCGACTGAGCCTCATGAAGAACTCTAGAGCTGTAATAACGGCAAAGGAATGGTCCGCGACAGCCGCGTGCGGCGAATCGACAACAGAAAACCGTTCCTACTGCCTGTCTCCTGGTAACGGCAGATGATATCGCAGACATAAGGAAAAGGAGGCGGCTGCCAAGAGCAGCGGACCCTACTACGGCGTGGGACTGACGCTAAGGACAAGAAAAAGCAGAAGAAGGATTCGAGGAAGAAGATGGAGCATTTCACCCCTATGTCCTCCACTGACGTTTTAGATTTTGGTAACTCGGTTTCATTCGTGTAATACTCACCTTCTGACCAAATCGGAATGGATCAGGGCATACAAATAGATATCGATTCTTGAACTCCTTGCAGAATTTTGTGAAATCGATTCGTTTCTTCTTTTTCTTCTCCGGTCTGGAACAATCCTCAGATTGGAAACTGTACAACCGAAGGCAATCAAAGTTGTTCTATCCAGGGCTTTTCCGAACGGTTTTAAGTGGTCTTCCAGACAATATACCTAACTATTCATGCGGCTTGGAGCAAAAATTATAATACTAAAACACTTTGGGATTCTGATGCGAGATTTCGACCTTGAGATCTTTTCGATCACATCGCGAGCTATAAAACTCAAAAATAATCCAAAAATCAGGCTTCGGTTATAAGCTTTCTTTCTCGGCATAAGCTTTGACTTGTGGCTGTGTTAGCTTGAAGCTTCCCAAAATTACAAAACTTCACTGAACTGATGCTAAGGCTTTTTCGCCCTCTACAAACTACTGAACTTAGTCGCCGGAAAGCTAGATGGATCACTTCTACATGCAAGGGCAGAGGCTTCGGCTTAACAGAGTTTTGTCATCATAGGAAAGCTTCAGCCAGCACACCCACATGCCAACGATCAAAAAACGAAAAATAGGGCTCGGGAAATAGGGTAAACGTGAACGGAAGAAAGATTTTTTCGAGTCAAAATCTTGAGGTACAAATGCACAAAATACTCACTCTCTCGTGGTTGTCGTTTTTTCCTCTTTCTCTTCCGAAACGTCATTGATGGGTTTCAGCTCTCTCATCAAAGCTGTCCTAAAAAAAATATACCATTTGCAAATCTAATTGTATCTGCTCACATTTTGATCATTTCAGACTTTCAGGTGGTATGAGAAGGGCACCGAAAATTCCAGGATTACTCGACTTGGACGAGGCATGAGTTGAAAGGCGATTGAACGATTAGAACAGCCTTCCTCCATNCTCTCTCGTGGTTGTCGTTTTTTCCTCTTTCTCTTCCGAAACGTCATTGATGGGTTTCAGCTCTCTCATCAAAGCTGTCCTAAAAACATATACTAACTGCAAATGTAATTGTATCTGTTCTTATTTTGATCACGTCAGTCTTTTAGGTGGTATGTGTAGGGCTCCGAAAATCTCAGGTTTACTCGACTCGGACGAGGCATGAGTTGAAGGAAAGGAAAGCGATTGAAAGATTAGAACAGCATTCCTCCATTCTTCCCTACCCTCGGGCCCCTCTCTCCCCTACATTCTCCCTAGTTCAAACATGAAATTGGGATTTTCACGTGTTCCCAAACGGTGATACATAAGTAATCACCAGGTAAATAAATGAAATTGTATTGCAAAACTCACGGTACAGTAGACTGATCGGGTTCATCCTTTGGCAAGCGGAAACAGATATTCTCAAAAGCTTGACAGAATTCGTCTTCTTTCTCGTCAATCTTATGTTGGCCACTCAATGCACACACCTTTACGTATTCATGGCGGAGTTCTGCGCAGGCAATCTATAAAATAGATTATTCAAGATTTTGATGCGAAAATACACAGAGACTGTTGGGTAATGGAAATTACTGGTAGGAGCTGACTCAGTGTCAACGGTGCCAATGTATACCCAACCGTTATACAACTGATGCTCGGGATCTACCGTCTACTACGGAACCTCTTGTAAACTCCAAGATGTGTGGTGGCATCTATATCACGATATCATCTTTTTGATAGGGTACCACTAAGTTCTGCAGAGAGTTTTGACCAGCCAACTCCTACAAGCAACCATTCTCTCGTTCCTTTCCATTCGACCCTTTTTACTCTTGAGTGAAACATATGCGTTGGATTCCATCGCTACAGTTGATTACAGGAGCTTATATTACTGCGATCTCCTTGATGTTATATTTAGTTAGCCGAAAACCGAACATTCAGATCGCAATATTGAAGCTTCCATCATACCTCTTCTAGGTCGGTAGATAAGTATAAGATCCGTTCAGAAGGATAAAAGCACTGGATCGTACAAAGCACGGTCCGCCACAACAAGCCGTTATATAATGAGGGCACCTGCCTACTTGGACCTCACTACGATTTTAAGGGCGCAGTTCACGATAATTTTGGGTAACCCAGATTACAAAGAAAAATGGAAGATAAGGTGGACAATAGCGCGATGGAGACGAAATAGCTACGTGGATCGGTGTTT